TTTGCGAGTAGAAGATATCCGTCGACTAGAAGTTTTCGATTATCGGTGTTTACGCAGTTTGGACCATGTTGGATGGAGCGAACGAGTGAGTAACGTGGAGGTAAACCGTCGTGTGTTTGGGAGTCTGTCAGGCATAAACCTGCCAGCATACCGAATTCAGATTACTAGGTTTCGGTGGCTAGGGCACGTATTGCGTATGCCCAGCCATCGTCTGCCGCACGCGCTTTATTCGCTGGAGGAAACCACGTGGAGGTCAACAGATTTCGTGGAGACGAGGCATGAAGAAATGCACAGAGCCATTAGGTAGAGTAGGTGTTTGTTGCCTTCCAGGTTGGGGTCCGAAAGACTCCACAACTGGTTGGTTGGAGACATTGAAGGATCTGGCGGCGAACCGGCAGCAGTGGCATTCTTGTTGTCGTTTCTTATCAGGTCAGAATGCTTGAAACGGTATGTATGCAGAGTTCGATTGTGTACTCTGTGTGTTGACCATAGTGGCTCATCTTCTCCTCCCTCAAAATTGATCCAATCCGTTTCCACCCTAAATTTTACCACTAACGTTGTATGTCTTGCGAGTTTGGCAGTGGTCAGCGAAGTTCGCTTCACTGTATTTCGTTATACGATGATGATGATGATGATGATGATAAACCTCCAAGGAGCCCATTTGAGCCGGCCTATTTGAGCCGGTGACCATTGTCACAACCGGGAAGTTGTGTGTGGGTGTGGTTCGTACGCCTCCTTTTGGTTGGTTTGGAATTACGGTTTTTAGCCAGCTCCCCTAGATGAACTACTAGTGGTCCGAAACCCGGTTATAGGCCCAGATTTCGGCTTTTCACCCTGTCGCTTTGGTGGGAAAACACCTCCGTCGTGTAAAGGCAGCGAGTAGGGTTTCTCAGCGGTGGCTATTTCGGACGCTTGGTCTTTCGGGATCATTTCGCTAGGTACAAGTTTAGGGTGACCAGCTGTAACCCCACCCACCGTCGACCATAATGAGGCCTTCGTAGGCTTTTATGATAAGTATTATTTATTGCATACCTACTTTGTTTGGAATTCCACAGGCGCTCCGGTCGTCAGTATTATCATATTTACCGGAAGAAAATCATCTTGTTACCATGTTCTATTGGTAACATATCCGAGAACTCACCCCAGCCGAACAAATCACTCCAAGATCTATCCGATCGCCTTGAACCGTGATGACAAGTCCCAAAAGCCGACCAAAGCGAGTTAACTTATGATCAACACAAAAAATTATTGTATCACTTAGAACCTTTGTTGTTAACAATAGCATCATTCACACAGTATGGCACACTGTCGGAAAAACTTGATAAATTGGTTCCCGGTGGTATCAAAACACTTACACAAGATTTAGCGGGCCTAAAGTTTCGGGTCTTTTTCTTCTAATATGATCCCAGTGATTTTCGATGGGTTCAAGATCTGGTGATCTCAGAGTCTAAGATATGCAGTGGACGTCATTACAAGGTTTGTTTTTTGGCCATGTTGATACCGGTTCACTAGTGGATTGTTTTCCTGGAAGGTGAATTTGATCATCATTGTAGTAGCGGCTTCAGTTGCTCATTCAATATATTTTGGTACCTCAGATCAGTTATGGCTCAGTTAGGAAAAATATCACCTCAGTCACATTAGGCCAAATAGTTCCCAGCATTACAGCCCCCACCCCCACCCACATGTCGGTGTATCTCTGTACACCTGCTCCTTTGAGTTCCGGACTTGAATCATCGTATCTATAATTTATATTTGAAATCTTGATTCAACACTCTACACGATTTAGCATTGATATGTTCCATACCAGTCACACAGATGCATCGCCCATTCGAGTTAGGCGCATTTGACTGCAACGCATCACCCAAAGAATGTTGATCGGCAGGCCGCGGTTGACCAACCATCCTATTAGTGTAGGTTCTAAACTGATGAAAGCACATTCCAATTCTAGCGAATATGATGATAAAGTTGTAACCGTTTCCTGCGCTTTCAACTGAGGCCTGATCACCACCTGAGTGATAATGAAACAGACCGATTTTTTGGGATAGTCGTAACCCTCGGAATCGATAGTCCTTAGTTCGTTTACCTGTTCCGCCTTATCCAAACGGTGAAGTTCTCGCTCTCCACCTATCGATGTCCTTGCTACTCTTTTGCATACATTCCTCTATGTTGCGGCTGCTTATCTCATTCCCATTTATGAATGGCAATCAGCTGACACACGGGAGCAGAAGGTCAACTGACACAATTTGCGAAAATCAGGTAATTTTTATTACATCCCGTTAGTAGTTTGAACATCGCACGCACTGTATGTGCTTCGTTCGTGTAGAGCGGGGTTCTCATTTATTTGTGATCAACTGTGTATTCTGTTTACCTGAGATTTGTCTAATTTTCTTCAATATCATAAGTATTTTCTATTTCCGTCGTCCTGCAGTATCATCAGGGTTCTACCATAGGTACTTCTTATGAGCAATAATTTTGAGTGGTAAATAACTTGATTATTAAGGAATAGTGAGATCCGAGCGAAATGGTTTATTGATTCATTTAGCTCGATGTGATCAAAAGTGACCGTTTCCAGCAGATCTTTTGACGAAACTCACTACTTCCCTGCACCCTTTCAGATTGGATCCTGCCAGTGAGTTCCATCCTGCTTCAAACGGTTCAGCTGCCGATTCGATCTCATCATCCCAGCCGCAGCTGGAGGAGCGCGAAATGCCGGAGCACACTGTTGGTTTCTTCATCCCTGAACAATGGCTTAGTGAAGATGGTCGGCCTAAACCTCGAGCGTTCTGCGGTTTTCTTCAGGCTATGCTCTCTCAAATTGTCCAGAGTGCAGGGACCACGTTGAAAGATTTCGCTCCACAATACCAGTTGTTTTATGGAGAACAATCCATTCGACGTCTGCTGTTCGTGAGTTCTTCGTATTCAGATATGTTGTAGACCTCACTTTTGTCAATAACTCCGTCATGGCCTTGAAATCTGAAGTTTTCCTACTTCAATGTTTGAAGATCTTTCACTCACAGTAATACATGGTCACTTCAGGCAAATCAAAGCACAACTACCCTATCAATGATAATGCGGTGTCTTATTTTCATCATCTATGAGGTTTGACGTGTGTGTTTGGCGGTACATGGAACTAGTACTCAATGGAAAGTGTTCTTTAACCCTGTTTTGGTTTTCTACGTGGAGCAGGGGAAAACCTTTCATCAGAACGTTTAGCACCGTGCGTTATATGGGTTGTTGCAAGATTTCACTCAAAAGTAGAGTGAAAAATTGTGGTGATATCTTTTCGGCATCAGATGCCTGTGTTTTCACAAGTCTCTTATTAGCGATGCTGCATTGTTTCTTAATATACAAAAGAAAGATATAACAATCCCTGCAACTAGAAGTAACCACACTAACAAAAACTGCGACTGTATATTGATTGATGTCCCATGTGACCCAGGGAATGCGGTCACTGGTGTCGGAAAGGTGAATTGAAGTGCAAGGTCAGACTTATTGATCGTTGTTTTCCTTTCAACGACCTTAAAACGACAGAGGGTGAACATTTTTTTCTGTCACCATGTGACCATGGGATTAATGGTGAATGGCGGTAACCGTTTGCGCTCTGTTCTGTTACTGTTCTGGCGCAAATTAGCTCAGTTCATTCTGTTTTGAGTTTCTATGACAATGATTGCTTGCTGCCGTTTCACTTTTCTCACGTAGGAAGTTTCGTTCAATCGGATGCTTATCCCTCTTTTAGGCTAACCAGATACCTCATAAACACAAGAAAATCTGAACTTAGTTGACATTAGCCACCAATTTTGCGATATTCATCATGTGTTAGAATGCACATGAATCCCGTTTGATTAAGAATCATTTTCATTCACTCACTTTCTTCAGTTTCTGAAACGCAATATATCTTGAAGTTTACTACAAAGTTTAATTGCTCGAGGTCATCGCATAGGAGTATCTTCTCTTCTGTCATCACCGGTTTTGGATTGACGAAGGAATGATACAAACACGCACATTCAAATCAGCTTTTTCTTCCACTATCCCACGTTTCCATCCCCGTACAGTAAACTTTAAGGGGTTATTCGAACTCAAGACAAGGATATATGCATATACGGCCTGGCATCTACAGGACGGAAACTGTCTTGAATCCAAATCGAAACAAACAAAATATTCCAATATGACGTGATCACAATGTTCTATGAAGCTAGCAGTTTTCTTTTCCGCGGTAGCATTAGGAACGCAGTCTTCTCTGTTGTAACATCTCTGGTCGACATGTGTTGCGCCAAATAGGTTGCCACGGTTAGCGCTGTTTGCCTAAGCAGGTGGTGGATGGAAAAAGGTCAAGGGTAACATGAAGGTATGAAAACTAACCAGGACACTGGGTCACGTAGGTACCGTTAGGCTCCCTCGATAGGGACCTCGCAATCATCGTAACCCGTGGTTCGAGACGCCCAGTGATATAGCGAAGTGTTGAAAACAGTGGCACCCATGCATCTACTCGATATTCTTGCAATCTCAGTTCATATGAATCTTTATCGTTTCCCTGAATATGCTCTCCACATACGAATCTTCCTTCTACTCTTTTATCTAAACAGGAGGTGAGAAAACAGCAACCGACACCAGCACCTGAAAGTGTACAGTTAATGGTTTTCAAAACTGAAACTGGTCCACAGGTCTTGATGAAGTGATGTGTAGTAAAGAGAAGATCACCAATTGTTAGAGCTTTTCCATAAGCATTCATCAACTTGTACGCAACCCTCTGTAACTGACACTCGGTTACTGTATCGTACGTTGATTGTTGTCCTCTCACGCACCTCTCTTTATAAACCAATGAGGTGTTTGGTGTTTGACGAGAATAGTCAACATCATTAGANATATCTCCAGCACATCACTTTACGTCATGAGTTTTTGCGCTTACCATCCAGTTTACCCGTTACCATTCATTGACGGTTCCGTTTTTCTTAACGTGCCAATGTTGTTCACTATGACCGGCACGAACAGGTAGCAAACGTGAAATGAATTGCGAAACTTGTGTGTGTGTGTGTGTGTGTGTGTGTGTGTGTGTGT